TTTTTTTTTTTTTTTTTTTTTTTTTTTTTTTTTTTTTTTTTTTTTTTTTTTTTTGTTTGTTTGTTTGTTTGTTTGTCAGATCTATGAAGAGTTTCAACATGGTATTTAGTGTAATGACTAAATCTTCGATACGTCCTTCCATGTGTGTGATCAAACTCTCATAGTTACCTCCACGTTCATAGTTGATTGATTCTGTGACTCTTTCTTCTAAGGACTCAACCTCAACGTGGTCTTTGATTGACAAACATCCAAGGGACTGTTGATTGCATCCATTTCATCAACAGTCTTCCCATGAGTTTATGGTGCATGACCCATTTATGATATCATTCACCTGACCCATTTATGATATCATTCACCTTGGAGAGCAATCATATTTTTGCATTGTCCATAAGATGCATTGTGGCGAACATAACTCTCAAGTCCTCTGAGCAAGTTTCTTTAGGCCTTCAAGTATTGTTCTAGGTAAAAAAAATAAAGTTTTCTAATTCCTTGGCATCTCAATTCCCCTTGGGTTCCTGAATTTTTAGTTTGTTAAGCCAACATGAGCTTAACTTTGGTGTGGTTCTCTATGGCCCTCCTTATCAAACTCACTTGGGTGTTTATCACCTCATCCCCACTTGTTGAACTTGAACCTAATATCTATAACACAACGCTTCCAAGGTACAAAGTTCATTAAGTATGGACCAGTATAGTGTCTCTCAAATGTAGGTAAAGTTTAAAAATAAAAATCCATGGTAAAGGATTGAACCTAGGCTTCTTGGATGAAAGCCAAATATCCTAACCATTGGATAATAATGGATTTTTCATGTAGATGTCCTAGAGTCTTTTGTCAGATCGTTAAAGAGTTCCAGCATGGTCTTTTGTGTAATATCTAACTCTTCGACACATCCTTCCATGTGTGGGATAGGGCTCTCATAGCTACCTCCACGTTACGAGTTCTTCGATCATGTGACTCTTTCTTCTAAGGAGTCAACCTCAAAAGTCCTGAGGTCTTTGATTGTCAAACTGTAGTATCCGAAGAAATAGAAATAGAAAAAAGAAAAATAAAAAAAGAGAGGAAAAACACAAGAGAAGGGCAACTATATTATTTTGCCCCTCACCCATTAAAGAGAAACTAGAGAGAGGAGGAAGAATAAACCGCCGTAAGATTCACTAAAAACTATCGTCAGAGTATATTTTGGTCAAGATCATGACGCAAGGAGCCTTTTTTGGAAGAGAAAAGAGAATTTGGGTGGCCGGAGTCCTATTTTCCGTCAAGAAATCGAGAAAACCTGTGAGGTAAGATTTTGAACGTTTTTCTTAGATCTACGATTTTCCTTAGTGAATCAAAATCTAAAATCTTGATATATTCATCTAGGAATAACTCTCCACATGATATGTGAAGAAGTTTGGCTGAAACCTCGATCTGAAGACGAAAATTCGAGAATCATCCAAGAACGGAGAGAGAAGAAATTCCGACAGCCACGTGTCGACAGCGGGCAGCGAGACGTGGCTGGGCAAGCAGGGGATACGTGTCGAGCATCGACCGGAGCCAAGCATCAAGTGCCAGCTGGAGCTACGCAGCTCGAGTGAGACGGCGACAACTCAAACCAGTTGCGGGCCATACGAGTGAACCGACCCACTGACTCGTCGAGCGAACCGACCCGAACTGGAGTGCCTAGACCGCAACTACGTAGAAAGCATGTGCATATGGTACTCACGAGTGAAACTCGTGAGTAGACCTTCTCCCGATGCTTGAGGATATGTGGCAGTGCGTGGAAGCACGTGAGGGTTAGTTTTTAGCCCGTTCGACTTATGTTTGCCCGATTCTCATCACAATTTCAATGCTAATCATATTTTTATGTGATTTAGGACCTAATTGAGGAAAATCAGTATTCTTGGACACGCTATTTGTGCAGGAATGCTAAACGAAGGACACACGTCGATCATGTAAGTCACCACTCGGTATTTAGGAAGAAATACTTGTAGGATTTGCTTGGATTGCATGCATGCTAAGATTAGCTTTCCATGAATGAGATTAGGCAGGTTGTTTGTCTGAGCGTATTGGCTGAATTATCTGGGTGTTGCTTGTATGTTTTAAGCTTCCACTATACGTATGCATATGTTTAATTCATGTTGAAATTGTGAACTCAGCATTATGGGTGCTTGACGGAGGCCATCGTCCCATGACGCATGCGTGTCTAGTTTGCATGAGTTATGCTGATGATGTTAGACGATGGTTACATGCACACTCTGTTATTTTCATGATCCATTACTATGATAAGCCGAGTGATTTGTAGTTAGGAGTGACAAGTCACTCAGCCTAGATACAACCTTCCCCCTAGGAACCTAACAGATTACCACAGTGAAGAAGTACCTTAGGAGTGTTCTTAGGCTGCTAGTTGTGTGAACGATATCTATAGCTTCATGGGAGAACCAGGAGTTCTTGACCATTTCTCACTACACCCAGCCATTTCGCATGGGAAATGTGTCCCCACGTTGTATAGCCCATTAGCTGCACAGGAATGGGTTGGCTCGGGGGGCTCAACACACCCCTAGGCTAGATACCGTGTGGTCTCAGATAGGCATGTAAAGGTAGCGCCAAATAGAGAGATACTGGTCATCACAGCTTGGCACAAGGAATCCTTAGGTATCAAATGAAAGGACGAAGAACCAGTGTAGCTCCAAAGAGAAAGTCCCAAGGAGCGAGCCCCAAAGGGTCTGCGACTAGAACCAGACGTCTTAGAGCCAATTAGAAGACCGTGAGAATTCTGTTAAGTTTAGGATGCCATGAGAGCCTACAAGTAGGTGGCTTACTGAGTATAATTTTTATACCCATCCGAGTTTTACTATTTTTTTTTCAAGTGTTCGCTGGCTGCCAGTCGAGGTAGAGGAGCATTAGAGAGTTGTGCGGTCACAGAGGGGGTCGTTCTGGAGTGTTAATCCAATTTTAGTCTTTTTGAGTCTTTTATAAATTTCGTTTATATTTGTATTGTATTTCCTTTTTGTAAATTCAAATCCTCTTTCGAAATATTTGAAAATTACACTTCACTCTCTTCAGTTTTAATTTTATTGGATTTTCACTTTTATCTTTTACTCTTATTTTCTTTTCTTTTTTTGTTTGTTTTCGATTTCGTCTTTTAGGTCACGGTCCGAGTTTTGAAGCCTCGGAAATCAGGTCGTGAAAAATTGGTATCAGAGCAATCGGATTTTAGATTCTATAGACTTTTTCTAGGATAGAGAGTTGTACACCTCTGTGACTCAGCTCGACGACACACCTAGCTGCGACTAGGTATGCATTCTAACCCTGTTTAGTAGGTTATGAGTTGTTGTTAAGTCTGTAAAAATTTGATACTTGTCTTGGGAAAGTGGTAACTATGATTACGCCTTAGCGTGTTTAATAAAGAATGTTCACTCTATTACTGTCGATGCTAGATTCGAGTAATTGTGAGGAGTCGAGAGGGTTCATGTTATAGCTTACGTGTTAGGTTTTATATTCGAAAACTCATAGTTTGTAAACAAAAACATATCTATTTTCAATAAAGTTATTGTTGATGTTTATTCAGTAAAGATTGTTATTGAATAAAGTGAATTTTATGATCATTATTCTAAATGCAATAAACTAAGAATACTATGGCTATAGTATGATTACTTGAACTATAGGTAGAGACATAAGAGTGGATCAAGTTCAAGTATATATAGTCAAAATGATTTATAGTATAAGGATAAGACTGAGTACCTTATTCTGGGGACACTATGGATGCGGCCCACTTTTGTATATGATATAAACAATGTGAGTACTAAATTGTACATGTGGAGCCATGTGAGAGGGGGCGTTCTATGCAATGAGTATTGCATAAGATTGGACCATGAAGAAAATCAGTCTCACTTTATAATGTCATTTACTATTGAGACTGATTTTCTCACTCGATGACCTAGGTAACTCGACCTTAATCCTGAGCTAACTATGAACTCCTGTTTATTCAAAATTATCCTTAGATTTGCATGGGTTAGAGTGGTCGAAGTTCGCTGACTCAATAAGCCTCCCATTTCAATGGTAAGATTGGGTGAATAGCTGAGGACATAGGGTGCAAGATAGAATCTCTCCTACCCGTTTTTAGGGATAGTAGAGAGGTTGTTCCCTTAAGTACTGACTCTAGGTTTGGTCCGAGAGGGATTCGGTTAGGTGGTTGGATCACAAACCAATTGTTCAGTAGAGGATCAGTGGGACTTAAGGAACAAGAAGTAACTTTAGGGGCAAAAACGGTAAATTGACCCAGCTCTAGTTACGAACAATGTGTGAAGGATCGACTTACTAATCATGGTTATATGAAATGGACAGAAATATATCTATAGTGAGGGGAGTGCAACTACTAGGCTATAGTGGATTGTCCTAGTAGTTAACAATGTTGGTTAAAAGATTAATAAGTTTAGCCGGTTAATCTCGGATTGTTGGAGCCCATGATCTGTAGGTCCATTCGGTCTCCTACTAGCTCATATCGGACTAAACCTTAGAATAGTGGGACGAGTGAGTTTGAAGTTTTCAAACTCATATTAGGGAATATGCGCTAAATATATACGATATATTTAACCGCACTTTGATTTAATTACGAATTAAACAAAATGAGAGAATTGGAAATATTTATATAATTTTTAAATATTTTAATTATGAATAGGGATTCATAATCAATATGTGTCGGAATTGATTGAGATTGGCATTTGATTTAATGTTAAATATTAATTAAATTGTTTAATTAATTCTTTAATATTATTTTGATTTGAAATTAATTATTCAAATTAATTGTGGAATTAAGATAGAGAAAGTTAAAAGGTTGACTTCACTTAATGGAAAAATCCATGGGTGGAATATTGAGTGTCAATATATGGTTTAATAAACTTGCATATTTGCCAATAATCCCACAAATTTGAGTGAAATTTTGAGCGTCAAAAATTGGTTAATTCAAACTTGCATGCTTGCTCCATAATCCCACAATTTGAGTGAAATTTTGAGTGTCAAACATTGGTTAATTCAAACTTGTATGCTTGTCACATAATCCCACAAATTTGAGTGGAACTTTGAGTGTCAAAATTTGGTAATCTCAACTTTGGATATATGCAAATATCACTCTATAAATAGAGTGATCAGTTACATGGAAAATGAAAAGTCTTCTTGGAAAGAAATTCTCTCAAAACTCTCTCTCTACATATACTAAATTTCTTTCCAATTTAGTCATTCACTGGATTCCACAATTCCATTCTAAAGCGGGAGAATAGTAGGGAAGACACTAGTGGTGGTTCAAAACCTGTTCGTGAGAAAAAAGGAATTTAAACTACAAAGGGTTAGTGTTCAAACTCATTGAGTTTTAATGCTTTTGAGCATGCTAGCTAATTTATTATAATTGATGTACTTAAAGTACCTAAGGTCCAAATTGTTTCCGCATGTGTTATATTAACACTATCAATTGGTATCAGAGCAAGTTTTAGGCACTTTATTTACATTAATTTGAGCATGGTGGGTACCATTTCATGAATGAAGTTCTGTGGTTGCTAAAGTGGATGTTTATGATTTTAGCATTTTTTTTATGCTTCCATTTGATACAATTACTGTAATTAGCCTAACATATGGGTAAGAATGTGTTAGGCTATGGAGCCTGATACTTATTTATAGCTTGGTCAACGGTTATATCCGGTAAAGCTATATTTGGTAAGCTATATATAGTAAAGCTATATATGGTAAAGCTATATCCGGTAAAACTATATATGGTAAATAGTTATATATAGTAGATGGCTAAATCTGGTAAAGCTATATATAGTAAACTATACCATATATATATCTGGTCCGGTAAAGCTTTGAAAATGTACTTTTCTCTGTAATTCTCTCTGTACATACGTGAAGTCATCAATACAAAGAAATCCTTTTAGCCAGAGTTCTCCTTGCAACTTCTCTCTATCCTTCTCTTTGTGTTCATCTAGATCGAGCGTGTGCGTTGTTGGGCGATCCTAACAACTGGTATCGATCCTAACAACTGGTATCAGAGCGAGGCAAAATTCACCACGATCTGTGAAGATGGAAAGTTCAAAGATTGGAATTGAGAAGTTCGATGGATCCGATTTCGGTTTCTGGAAGATGCAGATTGAAGATTATCTGTACCAGAAAGATCTTCACGAACCTCTGTTGGGGGTGAAGCCGGATACCATGACCACGGAACAGTGGAAGCTCAAGGATCGACAAGCCTTGGGGCTGATCCGGTTGACGCTATCCAGAAACATGGCGTTCAACATTATCAAGGAGAAGACAACGTCAGGTCTGTTGAAGACGCTGTCAAATATGTACGGAAAACCGTTGGCTATGAACAAGGTGTATTTGATGCAGAGATTGTTATGAGTCCTTGTGAGAACTTCGTTACGAGCAAACAGAAACGAGTTAGCTTCACAAAGACTATTAGAGAATTGAAGAAAAGTACCAGAGGGCGCTCCCTCGATCGTTAGCATTGCTGAAACCCCGAAGGGGGCTGCGTCGGTCGAGAGCATCGCTGAAACCCCAAAGGGGGTTGCGTCGGCTGGAAGCGTCGCTGAAGCTCCAAAGGGGGTTGCGTCGTCTGGAAGCGTCGCTAAAGCTCCAGAGGGGGTTGCGTTGTCCGGAAGCGTCGCTGAAACTCCAGAGGGGGTTGCGTCGCTGAAGCTCCAGAGGGGGTTGCGTCGCTAAAGCTCCAGAGGGAGTTGCGTCGTCCGGAAGCGTCGCTGAAGCTCCAGAGGGGGTTGCATCGTCCGGAAGCGTCGCTAAAGCTCCAGAGGGGGTTGCGTTGTCCGGAAGCGTCGCTGAAACTCTAGAGGGGGTTGCGTCGCTGAAGCTCCAGAGGGAGTTGCGTCGTCCGGAAGCGTCGCTGAAGCTCCAGGGGGGGTTGCGTCGCTGAAGCTCCAGAGGGAGTTGCGTCGTCCGGAAGCGTCGCTGAAGCTCCAGAGGGGGTTGCGTCGTCCGGAAGCATCGTTGAAGCTCCAGAGGGAGTTGCGTCGTCCGGAAGCGTCGCTGAAGCTCCAGAGGGGGTTGCGTCGTCCGGAAGCGTCGCTGAAGCTCCAGAGGGGGTTGCGTCGCTGAAGCTCCAGAGGGAGTTGC